CTGAGTTTGTATAAGCAATATACCAAATTAGCATATAAAATATTCATATGAGTTATTACTAATAAATACTAAAAATCATTGCAACAGTTTATATAACTATGTATTTTTACATCTATATCTATAAATGATAGAACATGCAAAGATGTCCAAGGTTAAATTTTTTAAAGAAATGCCTGTATGTGTTTTATTTCTCAAGAAGTTTAATATTGTTGGTTTTCTCATTGTGGTTATTGTGTGCACATAAAGAAATAGGTATTTCCTATGCACCCCATTTTCAATTACTTACACCTGCAATTATGTCATAGCAAATAAAGATCACCATGTGGAAGAAAAATTAAAAGTTACCATATACAAGCTGGCTTAATGGAACAAGGGCTCATTGAATGATATAGTGGTATTACTAAACTACTATTAACTGATTGTATATATTTAATACTTTATGTCATTTGTTATTGCACTGTATTATAAATGAGTGCACTGTAAGATTGGGAACTACAGGGAGTTGACATTTAAACGCTACGGCCCGCCTTTCCGTGGGGGAAATGGTGGACTAGTGAAGTACTACTACATGGTATACGACCTTAGCATTGTAAGTACAGTCATTTATTTCATATCTGTCATCTGGAAATCTTGTTTGTCAAATTAAGAGGTATGTACTTGTCCATTGGGACCTTCTGCCAAACTCTAGGTGTAAGAACAGTTGATTAAAATTGGTGATGTAGGGATAGAGGGCACTTATGCTTTGAAGCTTAACGTGTAGCTTTCTCCATGATGCGCGGGGATTCAGTTCTCCTTTCCATGTGAGCACGTTGGCCTCCCCTTGAGGTCAAAATGAGAGCTTCTTTTCCCTTGCGGGAAGACAACAGTCTCGCTAAAGTTCATTATCAGTCTGTTTTTAGTCTCATTTAAATGCCTCGATTAGTGGCCATGGAAGCCTGATACAGAGCTCACTTTATTCCTCACCTGATTTTCCAAGGCAGGGAACAGAAGGCAGGTGCTATATGCAAAAAGGTGTGAGCTGTAAATAAATACAGCTGCGACATCTAAAAGGAATTCAGAGGTTTGATTTAGCAGCAAGGACTTTAGCTAGATTTCCCAGAGATGCAGTTTAGGCTGCATTCACTCTAAATGTGTGTGTCATTTTGTTATTTTGTCCCAAGGCTAAATGGCACAATTGTTACACATTTAATAAATAAAATATTCAAATCAACATATAAATATGTTATCCATTGGGTAAACCAAACTCTATGTGGAAGGGGCATATTAATTTCAGAGCAAGTTAATAAATCATTTTATTGCTGTTTTTTGTTTGTTTCTTTGTTTGTTTGTTTTTTTAAAGGCAACTTATTACTCAGTCTCCGAATCAAAAAGGTCCTTACTCTCACAGGAGGTCATATTGCATAGTGGCTAAGAGCCCAGCCTCTGCAGTTGGACCCGTGGTTTGGCGCTGCTCCTTGCTCACTCTAGGATCTAGAGTACATTCATTTAAACTCCCTGTATCTCAGTTACCTCCTCTATGATATGGTGACATAAACAGCACATACCTAAAAAAAAAAGTACATGAGAAAGTTAAATGTTTATACACATAAATCCTTGGAACTGTGCTGAGCACAGAGTAACTGCTATATAAGTACAATTATAATTATTAATGAATACATAAGAAAAAAACTCATTGAAGGATATTTATATACTGTAGAAAAACAAAGGACAGCAAATAAGTTTCCCATATTTTTGAGTTTTGGTCTGACAATTGTGCAACTAGGTAGATTTCCCCAGGAAACTATCTTCTTGTCTCATGATATGTATGTCAGGCCTGTCAGTCAGTTACTCTGAAGATCTCTGGTCCTGACTGAAGCTCCTATTATTTCCACTGTTGTTTGAGACAATCCAGCCAATGGTACATCATTTAAAAATGACCCTGTATCAGTTGTCATATTATGAAAGTTAACTAAAGTCCATCTAACTCACATACACTGGACAGTAAAGATTTCAATAATCTTTTGCAACTCAGTCATATCTGGGGACAGTGGTCCTTTAGATCTTAAACAGAATTTTATTAAAGTTTCCTTAAACAAGGTGGTGTGGGTAGGGAATGACGACACATTTTGAAGCTGAATATTAAGGAATTATGGTTCTACTGGCTATGGCAGTTGAGCGAATTATTTTCTCATCTTGAAACTAGACTTTTCTAAGAAAAGCAGTCCTTTCCACAGTGCAGAGAGGAAAATTAGATGGTGATAGGAAATTCGGTGATATGAGTGGGGTGAGAACCAGCATAGATGCCATTATGATGTTTTCCAAAGGGTGGAACTTACAAATCAGATTCATGATTTACACAAACTATTACTTAAAACAAAGCAAAACTGTGAAAATATGAGCCCATTTAAACATTTTTTTAATGGTCCATTTGTTATCAGACTTTGAAGAATAGCTCAAAGATAGAATGCAATCCACTGAAATTTAAAAACCTATATTATTCAATTTACTGGTAAATGGAGTGCTTCTCTTTGTTTGCTTGTTTTTTGTTTTGTTTTGTTTTAAGTTTGTTTGTTTTTCTTCTTTTGTTCCCAATAATCCAAAAGACAAATATATATGACCATTCTTGGAAAGTATACAGAATTGATGACATGAATTTATGAATATATATAAAATACAGACACACACATTCCCTTTGTCTCCATTTCCTGTTTTTTTTTTTTTGTGTGTGTGTGTGTGTGTGTGTGTGTGTTTGTTTTGTTTGTAATTTTTCTGTCATTTTTATTTTTCTGTAATATATGTTTTTCTTTTGGAGGGGCAATCTAAAAGTTGTTTGTGGAAGAAATAAGATGGAGTTTAAAATGATAGCTGCTATAAGTTCAGCATTTTTCTGAGGCTGGTGGCTGCAAGAAGCATCTCTGTGGTGGGTGGACAGCACTGGGGTGAATTCAGCAGCGTGTGAGAGAGGCTTGTGCGGTCACCTCAAGCCATGAAGTGTCAAGGAAGAAGCAACCGATAAGAGCCGTGATCACCTACCACAGCTTATAATTTATACTTTGAAGGAACTAATGTGAATGAAGTAGCATAGGGATAGTCATGCTTTAACAGTATTTTGAAGGTATTTTAGAACTAAGAGAATGATTTTACATTTTTTCAACACTGAAAAGCCTGATTGATATCTACTAGAATTTATACTGGTAATTGTGAAAGAGGAAGAACAGTATATAGAGAATTCATTATGTGATCACTGTGCCTTTAAGAACACTGGGCGAATTTGAAAGCAGGCTCTTTCAAAAGAACCAATGAAGGAGCTTCCTTTAGGGAGAGAAGATCAGCTCTGTTTAAAACAAAGCAGAACAATGAAGCATTTTTAGGCTGGCAACACCGCTCCTCCTTTTCATAGTTTGGTTTGCCCTCTTATGAAGTAACACACTGGCATTCCTATTAGAATTGAAACTGACAAGGCATTCCTTTCATTCCTTGCTGCCAAAACTCCTCACTACTAATAATTAGCCATTCCTGGCTCCTATCCAAGAGAGTTTAATAAATACTAGAAGGGCTTCTGGGCCTCAGCTGCATTTCTAGCTTTAGCTAAGGGATGCTGGGGAGTTGGGAGCACCACTCTATGCTGAGTGAGATTTGCTGAATAGCATCAGTGCAATGAAATGACTACTTGGTTGTCTTAATGAATGACCATTATGTAAATATATATTTTATGTTAGTGTATGTGTAGAAATACCCATTCAAATTGGTCATAGTCAACTTCACAGAGTTTTTTTATGCCTGTTTTAGAAAATGTGTCAGTGTACAGCACTGTGATATTTGATAATCACTCTAAAAAAAGTCATTCAAGTCATTATTTTTATACATTTCATATAGGTGTGCTTTCCTAGGATTTCCAGGTAAATGACAATTTGTAATTTTCAATGTCTAAAACAATGTGGATGATATTTAAGAAATAGTCATTATGAATGTACTCATTACAAGATGAGTAAATACTTCAGTACGGTTTGTGATGTTATCACTATTAAATTTTTCACAGAGCATGTAACTGACTGCCTTGGTAAGAGCAAATATTTCTATTCCACTCTTTATTGGAAGGGAAAAATATGAGATGAATTATTTTAGTTTTTCTCATCTTTTATTCTTCAAGACAGAGAGGAATGACTTATCTGATTGGTAAAAAATGGAGACAGGAACTGTGCAGGCATTTTTTTTTTCTTCAGAAAGAAGACCTCTTTTTGAGATTATTTCATTCTCTGTGTCCTGATGCAGGCTCCTGTGAAGGACAGGAGAATGGTGCTATAGGTATGCTTCAGAATAATGGAGAAGTCTGGCTTATTCAGAGGTAAACGGTCAGGGTTTCATGTACAGTCACTGGTCCAAGCAAATATCTCTGTCTCTATTTCCTGAGTCTTATTTCCCAACTCTTTAAAAGCTCCAGAGGAAGAACCAGGTCTGCTTATTTAGCCTACAGCCCAACTGATCCAGTTGCTCTACGGTGAATATAAACATATGGCATACGTGTGAGGGAATCTTTTTATCCTTGACAGCTTTCTATGCCTATTTTCCTAATCTGAAAAAAATATAGATGAAGTTTTGGCCTTTGTTTCAAGGCCTTAAACCTAGAATGATTCTGTTCTGCCATGACCAACAGTGAAATACGTGAGAGTTTGCTTTATCAAATCTTATTAAAGACACGAAGAGTCAGGAAGATAACTTTACTAACTAATCAGTTCTAACTGCCCAGTTTCTGTCTTGGGATTTCACTTTAATGAAACTTGCTTGAATCGTGACAAGAAAGTGAACCAGTTTTCTCCATGAATTTCCCCAGAAATGATTTACTAAACCATTAGGGGAATTTTACTCTAACTTGGAACCATATATTCAGAACATAGGAATTAAACCCCTAACAAGTCTTCCTTCATTTCTAATTAAAAGTCAAGTTTTATCAACATATATTTATCCAACAATTAGAGTAGAAATCATCACTTTGGATGTTGACCAAGAATTAACACATTACAATCAGGAATTCAGAACATTTATTGCAAGAGCTGAATAATTGTAAATAACGTGGAACTGGCAAAGCAGTAACAAGGATAATTGTTTAGATATTGATTCTGTCGAAGTCATCAAACACCCCTCACAAACCGACAAAAATGTACTGCAATAAGCAATGCACCCCTACCCATTATTTTCCATTATGCTGTGAAAAAATGTGAATCACTATTTACAAAGTAATTTCATTTTTGGTAAGAACAAATTAACTATCAGATTAGCAAACCTTTTTTTTATTTTTTTATTTTTTTTAACTTTTAAACTGATGTTGAACGGTGGCATTAAGATAACTTTCACTTCTTTCAGTAAAGACATTTTGTTGCATGCTATTTATTTGTTTAAATCATCTGTCATGCCTTAACAAAAACCTCCTAAGAATGTTCGAATTTGGATTTGTTTTGCACGTGCAACTGAGATCTTATTAACATTAGTTGTCACTCTGTTGGTTTGACCTAAGTGACGAGATGCTGGTACCTGCCAGGCATTGACCAACTATGATAACAAACAGTTAAACAGCAATAATTAGAGATTTATCCCTTTTTTCCCTAAACTACCCTACCTGGAGAATGTTCTGTTACATCATGAAGGCACAACACATTAAATATTTTGTGGCTATGGTCTAACACTTGTGTTACAACAACATTATTGTATATGAGGATCAACACAAACTCTGCCATTTCAACAAAGTTGTAGACACACATTTGCCCAATTGAAACTATTTTTTGAATAGTAATTTTTACTTTAATATATGTAAATTTGATACATTAGTTTTTCATGAGTGACAAGTACATGATATTATATCACTTTCTGAAGGATAACACTTTCCCATGACTCTCTCACTTAATGCTACTAATTAAGTGATTTGCTTTTGCCTACTTTGAAAATAAGGATGTCAAGAAAATCGGTTCTGAATTTCCAAGCTTTTGCAGAAGTCCTTTTTTATATAAAGTTTTTACATTTTATCTTTATTTTACACAGAATCCCAGCATTATAAGCTATCATAAAAGAAGCAAGTATCCAGAACCTGTTTCTAAACACAAGTGTTTGAGATTCTTTGAACAATGTGTGTCAAGACAGAATACTAACGCAGAACACCTCACTAAAAGAAACAACAAAATTAAGACAAAGAGGCAAATAAAACAAAAAAGGAAAAGGAAGGAAGCAACCATAAAATACAGAATTATGCTACAACATTTTTTAGGTGAACGTTATAATTACACAAAAGTTGTTAATAATAACTTGCTTCTATTTACAAATACTTTAACACTGACTTACAAGTGTCCACTAACGTTGTTAACAGCACAATAGGTTTAATGCTTATCTTTTTAAGTTTCGTTTGAAGTATAATGTCAAGTATAGTAGTCCCAACACAAATCAGTGACAAAAAGAGCACAATTTTCTAACTGGATATGTTTGTCAGTCACTCTAATCCATGGGACTTTCTTACTCTCCAAATGCATATTCTATTTATCATAGCAGCAGTCCAGGGTCAAACTAAAAAGCTATTAAAAAAAAAAGGGTATTTCACAATGGAGAGACCTCTGAAGAATAATTGATTCTAGTAAACAAGATCACATGGCTAGTAGAACTATCTTTTCTCTTATGTTGTAAAACGTTGTATTCTCCATAGTGCTAACACAAAGTTATGAATATCCCTGCTATAAGGGGCATAGTTGTAGAGATCTACTGAATACATAAAGCTCTGACACACACAGTATTAGCATGTCTATTTAGATTAAAGTTATTAGTTCCCATCCAGCCTTTTGTTTCTTCTTCCTTTCTTTTTTTAGAGTTGGTGCTCCTTCGGACTCTCCACAGCACCTCCTGCTTGCTTGTAAGACTTCAGATTGGCCAAAGGAATGTCTGTCACGTGGCTGCCATTGTTGAAATGGCCTTCGTTGGAGCCATACTGCTTCCGGTCATTGAACTGGTTCCTGTTGCTATCTTCTTTCCAGGCTCTGGTCAGAGTGTGCCCATTCACAAGCTTGTCCTTCTTGACCCATTCTTTCTGGGGTGCAAAGGTTGAAAGAGGGGATTTAGGGTGTTGATAAGGACCCAAGCCTGGAGGCATCCAGCAATTATCAGAGTGACCCAAAACCAAGCACTCTTGAGTGCACATCTCTGTAGCTTCAGCTAATCCACGTGGGCCCAGAGGACCGTCTGCAGAGAACAAGAGACAGAGAAAATAAGAAGGGAAAGTGATTAGAATTTTCATTTAAAATTATCTCCTAGAGGAAAAGCACATTCGTGATCTCATTTGCTCATGAAAAGTATACTGTTAAATAATTCAAAGATGTTTACCCCATCCTTTTAAGAATAACATACAAGGAATCAAATTTCTTTTGATTGCAGAGGCAAGAATTATGTGTTTTTCTCCTTGAGCCTTTGTTTACATCCAGAAAAATAGACAGAAAAATAAGTAAATACATAGACAGGCAGATGAGGGTAAAAAATATTACCCATGATATATCATTTTAATCAACTCTTTCTATGGTGTATGTATTATTACTAATTTAAGTCCTAATTCTTAACAAAAAGCTCATATTTATGAGAAATAAACAAGAGTATGTGAAATTTTGAGAATATGTCAATGCTACAACTCCATGAAAACAAGCTGCAACAGCACTACTTAAAACAGATTAAAAATAAATACTCGAAATGACTATATAAAATAGTGTTTTCCATGTTAATATTTGTTTTAATAGATGAAATCATATAAAATTAATTTTACATTTTAAAAAAGCAATAATCATTTTAAAGAATATTTTAACTACAGTATATTAATAACAGCACACCTGGTCTGTGGGAAGCATTCTGAAATCCAACTAAATAAAGAAGCCATTTGCATCCAAAGACAGCATTTGGTTCCTTCCAAGCTTAACTTATTTTTGAGATTTGTAATATATAAAACTATAGCTAAGTTGCAAATTGGATCACATGGAGTCTAATATTCAGGGGTAAAGAGTCATCATAGATAATTCATTCTCTCTGTTTCTCACTCTCTCTCTCTCTGTTTCTCTCTCTCTCTCTCTCTCTCTCTCTCTCTCTCTCTCTCTCTCTCTCTCTCTCTCTCTCTTTCTGTCTCTCTCTCCTTACCAGCAGATAATGTAGAACATACATTTTAGCCATGGTTTCAAAAAACTCTTTTATTATATAGAGGAAATTAGCCTTTTACTGAATAATAACTGCCAAATAGTCAAGGAAAACGTTTTTTGGGTTTTTTTTCTGTTGTTTTTGTTTTTCTTCCTTGATTAAATAGTCAATTGATAAGTGATAGCTTGGAAATTAAGAATTGATTTTATGAATGAGGTTAAGTGGATAAGTAAGAATGCCTGAGGCATAAAGCATTCTCAAAAGCAGAGAGTCATCAGAATAAAAGTGCAGAAGAAATTGCAGAAAACATATCAGCACATTTTCTAATAAACAACAAAAATAAGTAAACAATTGAAATGTAGGCCTTGGCTAAAACCCAAGTTAGCACTACTAATATTTTCTAGTGTCCAATAATTGTGGGGATTTCATGTTATCATCTACTGGTTTTAACAATATTCTAGCTCTTTCTTGCATGTGAAAACACACCTGCTGAGATAGGCAATAGCTGATAGCAAATACCTTAGCTCACAAAACACAGGCAACATCAGAATGGACATTAGATGTGAAAAAAAATATGGCTAAAAAGGTACTCTTTCATACAAACTCAAATTTAGTTGCTTTTTTTCAATCTAAATATCTACTCTTTAGGATAACCTTAAAATCCCTACCCATCGTATTCCCATTCTCTCTAAAGCAAACAGTTTTATTTTACATAAACACATGTCCATTACTTAAAACTATTTCTCTCATAAACCTCCTCCAATGATGACTAACTTCCAAGGGTATTTAATTTAAGCTTCTCTGTGAACCTTTCTTTGCCCTCCAAAGTCTGCCCACAATTTCAAAGTTCAAACCAATCTCTCCCTTTTAGGTTTGCTTCTGTGAGCTCAGTGACTTCGTATCCACAAAGCTAACACATTTTACTCAAACCAATTCATCCTCCCACTCTCACATTAGGTTTACAAGCTTAGAAGATGGTTTTCACCTGGCCTGTTTTCATTTAATTACTGACTCTTTCAAGGGTCAAGTTGTTTCCCACAGACCACAGAAAGCTTCCGAAACTATGTCAATTCATGTCGCATATGCACCTGGATGATTTCCACAGATCTTCCCTTATTGATAAATAGCAAATTTCCTCATTGAGCTCCCTCAGCTCTTGCCTTAATGACATTGTTGCCTTTTAGAGGAGTTTCTGTACATTCATTAGTATCTGTTTTTATTTTTGTTTTCTCCCAACTAGATTTAAAATCAATTGATGAAAAAACAACAACATCGATCTTCTGAGTCCTCCTAGTCCTAATCAATAGTGATGATCTATGAATAATATTAATCGCTAATAAAAATTTTATGAGGTTGAAAATGTTCTGAGAAATTATTACAAATATGTTCCCCTTAATGACAAACCTTATGTAATTATAGTAGAAGACACTGGTTTCACAAACATTAAACCCAAAGCTTCCTTAGCAACAAATCTCTGCCTAGCAATGCTTTTTGAGAGTTAATAAATGAATTAAACTTCTCTGTTAAATATAATCACTCCTCTCTAGAAATCAGTGGAGATAAAGTAGTTAATCACCAATTTGATGTATAATATATCTTGAGGCCAACTCTTATTAATCTTTACCTTTCCAGAACCATTAAGTTTTTCTGTTCATGTTAATATATCCAAAGGGGGGAAAAATACATTTTCAGCTAATTGATAGAATCAGTTTTTCATGGAGTACATCTAAAAGAGTGAATGGAGAATATGCAAAGTTATTTTTAATATAGCCTCACCCAACACACATCGTCATCTTACTGAATTAAGAAATACCACTCAAGGGTTGAGAACTATGTGTTTGTATAAGTGTATGTGGACCCTCAGTCTTCAGCACTGAGTGACACAATTTAACAAACAGAGTACATTCTTTTTTTTTTTTCAGAACCGATAATATTTCTTTATTCCATAAATACTGACTGAGTGTGTACTATATGTTGACATTGTGACGGTCACCAGGAATATACCTGAACAAAACAGATGACAATACTATCCTCCTGGAGTTGTGGTCTATCCTAGGAAACAAATAATTGCCTTAAAAGGAGTGATTGGGAAAGGAGAAAAAGGTATCATTGTGCAGAAATAAGAAGCAGTTAATGATTTAGGGAGGTGTGTCCTTTTACAAGGTAACAGGTACACTTTCTTCCTAGCTATATCATTTCTACTATTTTTTGAAAGTTCTTCTTATAGATAACTGACAATTTAAAACATTTACAGTTAAAATTGGTGTGTCCTATAAAAAGCCATTAACTTGCAAAAAAGGAGTTTCTGTCCATTAGATATATTAATTGCTTTTTTGAGACTTGAACTTCTTATGATTCATGCTTGTAAATAAGTTTGAAGGTTTTGGATGAAGTCTATAAGTACAGTTAGACAAGTTTTGTAGATTCTTAGATAAGTGTTTTAGGTAGCTTATTTTTGTACAAGATTTAAAAACCCATCTAAAGGTGGCACATAATACAATGACACACACAGATGAAAGCCAGAAGCTTTTGTCACTAAGAGCTCCAGGGAAGAAAAGGCCATCAGGCATGGCCACACAGGGGTTTGAACCAGAAACAGGGTCACAGCGAGGTGGAACATGGGGGCAGCTTCTGTACTGCAAGAAGGGTGGGGTGAGGTAGGCTCCCAGGGTTCTCTGTGGATGGACTAAATGAGTAATTTATTCGACTCCAGGGCATAGAGGTTGTCCCAAGTCTTCTGGTACCTGACTGCTGGACAATTAGGACGGGTGCTTAGCGACCAATGAGACTGAGTGCTGCACAAGGGAAGTATTGGGGTGTGGCCTTACTCAAGAAGGGGAACTGACCAACCTTTTGCCAAAATCTCATTACTGGGTCAAGAGAGCATTATTATCATTTTTTTAATAAAAATATTACTAACCGAATTGATTATGCCCTGGAAAATGTGAGCTGTATTGTTTGAAAATATACTTCGCTTTATGTTTTCATAAATTTTTATTTCGGGACCTGACATTAAACAGAGAAAATTTTATTTATTATTATTTTCTTTTTTGGCGGGGGAGCAGGGGGAGGGATGCGAATATACACAATTCCTAGTAGTTGCCCTGATATTAAAAGGGAAACAAGAAAACAATGAGTTTTACTCTGGGAAATAACAATGGTTCCAAGTTGTCTTTCATAAAGTCTGTTTTATGAATTGGTTAAAAAAAAAAAGTTGGATGATGAATTACTGAAAGGAACAGCCATTCCATGGGTTCTCTAAAACAGTCTCTGTCATTTAAAAGTTTATAATCTGAAGCTTACTAGACATTGAATCATTTCCAATTTGTTTCTCTCATTTTTAGAACCACTGACTTAATTTTTTAATGCTTTTAGATAGGAGAAAAGCATTCTTTAAAAAATGATATTGAATATTTTCATTTTCAAAACATGATTAAAAATAATCTATGATTTTCCATCAAATACATAACATTTAAAATATCAGGAAATGTTTGCTAGTACTGCAAAATGTATATGTAATAATATAGTATTCTTAATCTATGACATATAATTATTTTGAATGTTATCACTATAAGTAATTGATAAATAATTATATTTATTTTTCATTCATACATTTCCTTAACATGGATTTATTGAATACCTCACATTCATCACATGAATCAGACATCACTGGTTCTTAATAAATGTCTTGAGATTTTACATGTGCACGAGTGTGTGCACTCATGCATGTGTTTTCCTGTTTCTCCAATTTTTCCATATATTTTATAATATCCTATTTGTTCTACATCATACGATATCTATTTGGAATCCAGATCAGGATTTCAACATTACACCAATTTGTTTTCTTTCTCTTAAACATAATTACAATACCCCATCATGAATTTTTCAACACTGAAACATTCAAATTTTTTTTTAAACCTAAATTATTTGTTCCCTTTCACAATCTGCAATCCATGAGTTTGTTTATTTTTCCTGGTCTTTGAATGTATAAAAAGATACAAGTGCTGACAAAACTGTCTCTGCATTTAAATAAATGTTGAAAATAAAAAACAAAAGCCCAAAACGAA